TGTTGTTTTTATCCTTTTTGGCTGGTCACTCTAGCCTAAATCAAATGAACCGGATACTAAGTTGATGAACGCTCGTGTCAAATGGTAACTACTGTTGGATCTTGATTAGTAAAAGGGACCCCCCCTCAAACAAATGGGGGAGCCTCTGTAATAAACTACAACCAAAACAAATCTGGCTTCCTAGGAGGATTCCTTTTGTAATTGATTGTAGTATTCATTTTCCTTTCTCTCTTTGTAGTAGTAGTAGTAGTAGTAGTAGTAGTAGTAGTAGTAGTAGTAGTTGCAGTAGCAGTAGCAGTAGCAGTAGCAGTAGTAGTATTTATACGTTTCTTCAGGAAAACACTTTGCACACTTGAGGACCCTGAAAACAAATTCATTATTGAGGATCACGGGCCTTCCTGGTCTACTACCTTGAAATTTTGTTTAGGAGCAATCTTTTCATAAGGGATTGATTAGGGAATTGATGGTTTTGGGAAGCTGTCAGTATTGAAGAAGAACTATAGAAACCTATACTTATCAATACCCTCAGCAAGCCAACCATTGGCTTCGTAGTATTAAGAATTACCATTTAATTTCTTCAGGAAAAAGCTTTGCACAATTGAGGACCCTTAAAACAAATTCATTATTGAGGATCACGGGCCTTCCTGGTCTACTACCTTGAACATTTGTTTAGGAGCAATCTTTTCATAAAGGATTGATTAGGGAATTGATGGTTTTGGGAAGCTGTCAGTTTTGAAGAAGAACTATGGAAACCTATACTTATCAATACTCTCAGAAAGCCAACCATTGGCTTAGTAGTATTAAGAATTAATATATCTATTTTCCTAAGGAAATATACTTAACCCTAAATATGTTTCAGATAATAAAAAATTCGGATCCCCAAACTATTTAGCATAATAGAGGACCCTTAAAAAAAACACCTACCAGATCCGCAAAGTCATCGAGCATTTCCAAAATCTTCCAAAACGAATCACACAGTCAAAAGAGTCATACGAGCATAGAAGAAACATGAAGAAAACAAACATTGGATCTTGACAGTGTCCCGTGCGAAATTCAACGCATCTCTGCCTGGCAAGGGCAGAATCGCGCCAAAAAACATGCACTGCCATAAAACGTGTTCCTATAGGAACCACGAGTAGCTAGAGGTGAGTTTCTTCACAGAAGGGGTATTCGTGGGGGGTGGAGTGGTGAAGCTTGTAGAAACATGCGTTTTTCAGAGGGTAGTGATATCAATGTCATGTCAGCTGCAAAAAGAGCAACACCTTGCAAAGTCACAACTTTCACAACCCCACCCTCCTTGACTACCCGCTCTCTTTCTTTAAGGTTGACTACTCCATCATGCTCATTGGTTCGGAAGAATTGGACATCCTAATAAGGTGATACTTCTGCAGTTTCGCTTGTCTCACCGTATCTAGATGTGATTCCAGTCTTGTGGCAGCATGTGTGTACTATTTGGGGCTAATTTCAAATGGTTCCAAATGCCCATGTGTTATCATGTGTTGTCTTTTCGACAATGCTTCAATGAAAAAGGATCATGGAGATGGAGCCTCCTGAGCCCACCCGGTTGAAAGCAGTTTGTTCGGCCGGTCGGTCTCAGGATGCCAAGCCGACTTGGCAAGAAAGACGGTTGGCTTGGGAGGTGGGTGGCTCAGCAGTCAAGAATAGAAAGAAGAAGAAGAAGAAGAAGAAACAGGTCAAATGTGCACACGTGCGGACTATACTTATTATTTATGGTTTTGTTGTTTCTTAAAGTTCCAAGTCTAAAGAGTTTGTGTCAGGCGGCACAAACGCTGGAGATGTTGGAAGACACCGCGGAGCGATTGATTACTTCGACCATAGGGTCTACAATCCAACATAGACACCATCTCTACTAAAGTCCTGTTCCGGCTCATTTGTAATGTTGGACGTTGATTAGTAATAGGGCCCTCTATAATGCTAAATTTTGGAACAACAATCTTGACACCCGAGAATCATGCTGAATCCGATTGAATTGACCAATTGAAGTGAAGTGAATCCAATGGTTGATCCCACGAGCCAAAGGGGTGTGGTTTTTCCACCCGCCCAAACCATGTCTTTTTGGGGGCTGAGAGGCTGAGAGGGTCCAAGTATCATTTCGATTTATTTCCGGTCCGGTCACCCATCCTGCGTGGCCAGTCTTAGAGGCTCTCGGCAGGAGCTTTGCACTGAGCCCGGGACGGCTGGACTGGGGGCTGTCAGTAGATCTCAGCCACACGTGAAGCGAAGAAAAGCCCTTCCACATGCCATGGCTGCATGACTCTGATGTGGAATATATGATTATACATATATATATATGTATATGTCTGTGTGAAAAATATATCTATATTATATATATATATAACATTCCATTATGTTGTTATGTGCCATATGCCTACCTTGACCCTGAACATTGCCATTGTGGGCTTGAACAGAACATGGGGATCTTCGGGCTGAACGAAGCCGGAGCTTCCCAAAGCCTTTCTCCAGCCAGAACACGTACGGGTACTGTTCTCACTTTTCTCCAATTTCATTAAGCTCTTTCAGTGGCAGGATGTTGAGTGTTTGCTATATATAATTTGAACTTGTCCATCAACTCATCCCAAAAGCAACATCACTGGCTGGTGGTTTCAACTCACTTGAAACATATTGAAACATATATATATATATACATATTGAAACGTATAGTCACCAGTAGTACAGTGGTCAATCATTCCAAGGTAAGGGTTGAACATCGAAGCATCTGAAACCACCACACAGATGAGCTGATGCTTTCTCCAAGCGCCCCGGGCTCGGCAACTGATCCGCTGGCTGCGGCTCCTGCGCGTCAGGCACCGGCTCTGGGTATTGGGGGAGGGCCTTTCAATACACCAGACGATAAGGGATCCAAGAAATCATCCTGTACCTCCAAACATAAATCACTGACCTTTTTTTCACACATCTGCTGCATCCGCTCCAGTCTTCGCTCTCGCCTTCGAAACAGGCGGAGCCCCGCCGGCGATCGCCATCACCTGCGATCGCTGACCATAAGACGAGTCGATGAAAGGGGGAGACGATGGCAGGCGCTGGCAAACTGAGACCTTCCAACGACTATAGCTAGGAAGGTCGACCGCCTTTTTCTTGTGGGGTCAAAAAAGGCACCCCAGGGCTCTCCCTGGTTCGTTCTCCCTGGCTCTTTTCGTTCAGCTTGGAATCCGGACATGCGAGTTGCAGGAACCGCGTTCACCTGGCCCATATCCTAGACACTCCATGTATGCCATATATGCCTACATTGGGGTGGTTTGGGGGTCAATGTAGGCATATATTCCATACATGGAGTGTCTGGGTATTGTATACTTATAATGACTGTTGAGGTTGAATCGCTGGAGGGACAATGATAAGCCAAAGATCGGTGCGGTCAAGGGCACGGTACGGTCAATTCAAACGCACTGTTCGTGACAAGGCTTGATGTGACAAATGAATATAAATAAATAAATGAACATAAATGACCCAAAAGAACCTGCCTCTAGGCATTCGGAATGAACATGGAAAGCCAAGCGTGACATTTGGCATCATTTGGTGCCAAGAAAGGCTGGCCGGCCTTGGTTACCAGGCCCCTGCCCAAACACTGGTCAATACAGAACCAGTATAGGGCTACCGGGCCACCTAGGGGTCATCAATTGAATGTTGGAATGCACTGTGGAAGATCCTACCGGTACCTCGTGCCTACGTCCCTGGAACACTGGAAGATCACCGGCCTCAGGGCACACGGCCTCAGGCGACGATGAAAGGAGATCACTGTTCGGTGTCAGGATCCGTAGAAAGCACCGCATGGTTGGTTCTAAATGTAAACCCCAGATCTTCCATGCAACTGACGATCGAACATATTCGAACCATGACTGGTCAAGAGTGAATGGTGTCACTTTATCACTTTATCATCGACGTACACGGCGACAAATCGATTATCCCAAAGACGACTAATGGGACTGCCAGGACGGACTGCCGCCCCATTGACCCTCCAAAGCATCCCAATGTAGGCATATATGGCATACATGGAGTGTCTGGGAATAATATCAATAATATTCAATAATCATCCTGATGAAGTACACCAACAACAAGCACCGGAGTGTTCGCACAGCCATCAGAATATGGAACATCCAAAAAACAGCAAGAGGAAACTGGTCATATTTTGGATTGGTTCAGATTCTAACTATATACTCCAGGATGGTCTTAAATGCAAAAGTAATTGCGACTCAGGCACCTCTCTCTCTCTGCACAGGCAGCAGCCCATGCTACAGTAGTTGATTCGACGAGTGTCACACGACAAAAGCCAAACAGCTACCTTCATCCGGAAGACAGGAAAGGCTAAATGCAATCTGACATAGATTCGTTTGTCCCGACCGGTGCAGGACTTCTTATGCCCTAAGAATCCGGGCCCTCAAACAGAAAGGGTTCGGTTCGGCCCGGACCCCTGCGAAGGTGTCGGGTCCGACCTCTGCCATGGACAGCCCGCTCGGATTCTTAGGGCAGCTGATCTGAAAACCGTTGAACCTCCAAACGGCCGTGATCCCAGCCCTTCATCCTAGCGGCGTGACCCAGGCGTTCGCCTCGCGGGTCACTGGTCACTTGCGTCGATCGCTCAAAGAGATACCTCACACGCCTTCACCTCAAACACGCTCTCCACCTCCCTCCACCCTTTTCACGCCATCGCGCGTTCTCTCTTTTTTTTCCAGCACGGCACGGTGGCACAACGAGCGGCGACCACACGCGGATCTGGTGGAAGATCGGGCGAACTGGGATGGAAGAAATCCGGTAAACCACCTGAGATCCAGAAATGGCCTGACGGGCAAACAATGGGGACCCTCACGATAGATCAACGATGAGTTAACCCATTCCTCCAATGATGAACCCACCCAATAAAAGACACCATACAACAGAACATATATGAGCAGACTAATTGTACTGAACCAATTCTGGGAAGGTCGGTTTGGCAAAGGACTTTGTGCCTGGAAGATCCTTCCTGAATCCACAAGATCAACGGTGTAGACATGAGGTGGCACAGGATTTCTTCTTCGTGGGGCCCCAAATGAACCCCTCTGTTTCGAACTGTGGAACACGGTGCTCTAGGCTCTTGTCCTGGTTCTGCATGGCTTGCTGACCGAACGTCCCAGGTTGATACCCCATCTCCGCGTCTTGGAGTGTGGCCCGCACGGCCTCTACTTCGATGAGAGGTACTTCCAAAGCACGGTAAAAAAGGCACTTTGCAAGATGTTGGTGAAAACTCGAGTGCTCAGTCCGCGGAAGAACACACCCGAGATCCCGTCCTAGGAGAGGAGGGGAGCTTTTTTCTCCCACGGCTTTCGCATGGCATGGCTAACTGCTAACTCCAAAGTTGGTAGGACGCAAGGCTCAGCTTGCAGCAAACCGTTAAGAACATTTCACTCATTGCAACTGACGTCATAGGATCTGAGAGACACTCGTTTCCATGTCCAAGCACGTGACCTCCAACAATGTTCCTGCTGCAACTATGCAATATCCCTTGAAGCTCGCGACTGACCGGGGACCCCGTCCTTTTCGATGATCTGTTGCGTCGCGGAGAAGTAGCTGCAGTTGTCGTTGCTGGTTTGTTTTTTGGTCTTGATCACTCGAATGGAATTCGCCACCTGAGCGGAAGGACCATCAAAGCTTCTCCTTGCTGTGTTTCTGGCCGTTTGAAAGCGAGTCAGTGTTGATTTTGTGATGCTTTTCTTGGACACAAAGCTGGCCACTTCATGTAAATGCTCCAAAATGGATTTCGGTGGGTTTGTCATGGCTGAATTTGATTCTCCGTGCACTTGGATGACTCCCCCACAAAATATCTGCACACAGCACAAAGCTCTACTGTAGTTCTAGCCACACTCTTTTGCAACAGTGTACCGTGGATTAATCTTCATCCTACACATCAATTATTTAAGGATTAAAACAATACCAAACCACATTGTAATATATGTTGCGCATATAAAAGCATATATCATAACTATAACGAAACTATTGCACATAACAGTAATAAAAACAAATAGTAACAGTATTATATATAAAACATGTATATCATAACTATTACATTGCTTGGTTTGACACACCAAAGCACCACATCGCTGATCGACGAGGCAATTGCTCCAATGAAGGCACTCCTGCGACCAGCGACCAGCGAAGCCGCGGTAAGCGGCCCCGTTATATAAACACCCCCAGGAGACGATCAATCGGAAGGCCTCCATTGGAGGCAACTTAGAGCCAAAGATGTGCTACAAAAGACGACAAACGAACCGCGCACCAAGCTTTGGCGCAATTTGGTCGTTTTCTCACTTGGAGTGTGGAGCCTTTGGAGCGCTACACGTGCAACAAACACTTGGAGTTCAGCATGTAAAATGTAAAACACAACGTTCGCGAGAAAACAATATGGGAGATCTTACTTTGTGGTGTCATTGCTGTTGATATAATTACATGTATGTGTATGTATCCCGTAACAAACCACTGAGGATAATTCCAAACGATCAGAACGTCTTTCACAAACTGGACCTATTTCGTTGTGATGCGAGCATTAGAGTGACTGCACCATTGAGTTTTCCAAATCTATAGACAAGTGCCCCAGGACATGTTTGCTAGCTCTTCGCACATGCATCACGGTCACAACTTTAACTTTAAATCACATCAAAGGACATCAAGATGTGGTGAGTGTGTTACCGTTCTTCAGGTTCAATATTGTATATGGTGGTCTGTTGCTCAAGAAATACATGTTTTGAGGTCAAACATCCATATCTTGTCGTTGTCACTCGTTGTCCGTTCAATTTGATCGTACCTCACATGAGATTCTGGATTCACCTGAGGTATGCAAGCCTCCTCCCCCGTCGATGTTGCAGATTTGAGTGGAACAAGACAGCTGACATCCTGCCCAGCCCTGCGGAACTGGTTATTTGTCAGTCAAAATCAAACCCGCAGGGGTCATTTTTGGTTGGGGGTTGGCAGTTCCCACAGCAGAACTGGGTGTCGGGTCATCTGGGTGCAGGTCCCTGAGAATGCGAGACCAGAGCTGGTATAATATAGTTCCGTTGAATTAAACGCCATGCCATTCCCTCCGAAGAGCCCAAGTGATGCTCCAGTTGGTGTTCCGAATGCATTCGTTGCCTCACGAGCTTCATGAAGTTCCCCTCTGGGACAGGAACCTGAGCGTCATGGGAACAGCCCAGCGCCCCCGGGTGTTCCAGTGCGATGCTCTCATGGTGTTCCACCGGGAGGTTCGTTCGAGCTTTGTCCATGATGGCGCAGTTGATGGAGCATCTACTTGACTATGGATGAACAATCTGTGTCTTGGAGCAAACAAAGCTCCTCCACATTTCAGCATAATAGGAACAACATGCAAACAACATATCTCTGGTTCCTGGCCCCAAACCCTTTCTGAACCGCACCGCCAGTCCGACGTCCGCTTGCATCCAGCAACGTGCTTCTGCAGCACATTCATCGTGGCAAACCATGGGTAGTTGCCAATCACGTTCGCCATGTAGTTCCCTTCCCAACCAGCCCACAGCACTGTGACACCACCTTTCGCCATCTTCTCCTTCAGCATGACCCAGCCCTGAGTAAGCACACTTGTTCCGAGGTGAACTGCAAGGATTACCAGCACAGTTGGGAAACGGTGTGTGTGTTTTCATTCGATGTGGAAACACCCTGCCAGCGTCTGCGTCTTCGGAACCATTTCAATTGCTTGATATTTTGAATACCAAATCAAGCCTCTAAGCTGCCGCATTACTCCAAAAGTCCTGAGCCTCCCATCTGAAAAACATAACACATTGCAGACCATTGCGACATGGTTTAATAAGAACGGACTGGACAATCGGACACAGATTTTGTTACTATTCTATTCCAACAGTTCTAACCAGCTTGTCCTTCCATCCGCATGAAAACCAGAGTTTCACAGACCCAACTGCCTTGGAGCCATCGGTCTGGAGGATGGTCTTGCAGGTGTCTACCTGGGGATACCCCACTGGGGTAGGTCATGATGTCGGCGTTCGTGTTCAAACCCGACCCCTGCAAGGCCCGGTAGGCCCTGCCATCTGCAGGGTATGAAACCGGACCCAAGGCCCTCCGACTCCGGACCTCCACCAGGATCGGACGGGACGGGTGTTCTGCTCCGGTTCCTCTGAAGAGGTTGGGTGGTAGTGATAGACCTGGATGTCATGAGATGCCAATTTTAGAATTTGAGGTTGATCCGCCTACAGTGAGGGCATGAGCGGCGGACCTTTATCTCCCAGTTGATGAATGGTCCACCTCCAAACTGATCTACAAGTATAGTCCCCAGCTGGTTAGAGGAAGTCCTCATCTGTCAAAACGGCATCGTTTTTCGCTTGTTCCCGGGGTCTTGGCTTCCAGATCCACCCACAAAGCCCTTGTTTGGCTGAAGGTTGGCAGTTCAAATGATCGGAGAGGAAGCGATGAAGTCCAAGAAACATGCGCTGCAGCACGGTAAACAAACAACGTTCACCCACCATTGCAATGAAAGAACATAAAAAACATGCTTCTGGGGGAGTCTTTCAACCTCATTCAAAGCCAAATAAACAGGAAACGCTAGAGGGACGCATGTTTTTTTCGGCTTAAGATCCAACCATTCCGATGGAATCAGGCCCAGGAATCGCTAACTTCACATAACTTCACACCACATCGAATCTCCAAACCTCAAGCTGTTGAATCTATCTATAGAATCTATACGAAGGCATCCCTGGTGATGGATGGAAAGGCATTTCATAGAGGCAAAGCATCCCCATTTCAAGCCACAATCACCCGGGACACCGAAGGCCACTACTGAGGGGTTTGGAGGCTCTGTCGATTGAATATCCACAGACCCATGACAGACCCATGGCATTCTGTGGCTCAACGACGAGTCTCCGAACAATGTCTCGAGCCCTGCTCTGTTGTGGGCTTGGAGATGTCTCAGCTGAGTTGCTGGGGTGATGACGATGCGCCATGCAGCACTAGACAAAGAGCCCACAAAAGTGGAGATGCTCACAGGAACCTGCGACACGTACGACGTCGTACTACCCGACTCGACGTTTTTGTTTAGGGTCAAACACATTCAGACACCGATACCCCCAGTAGTTCAAATCAAAAACAAGCAGAGTGGGGGTCATGCGAAGAATCCTTTGAGCATCCTTGAGCCACAGCCATTTCCCAGCACTGGAACTGCTGGAACGGCTTTGGCCTTTCACACATACATGAAGTACCTGTAGAAGGTGTGGGCAAATGCTTCTTACACGCTGATCATAGCTGATCAACTTCAGCATTCCTCATGACCTACAAATAGGGAAATCGCTCAAAGACCCACCGTGAGTTAGCTCCAGTTATAGGTTATAGTTATATATGAGTTATATGTATCAAAATAGACAGCGCCGACCTCCCCCCCATTGCGGTAACATCCGCTTTTCATGCTGCTGGTCCTCTCTATTGGCTTTATTGAAGCGTCCACAGAGCCAAACTCGGCAAGCATCTGTCCAGGTCACGTACGTGGTCCAATCTTGCATGAGCTGGGCCCTGTGAAGGTCACTGGTCACTGGTCACTGATGAGCTCGGATGAGCTGCACAAAGGGATCGTTCAACCCATTCTAGAGGAAATACCATGAAATACCAACAGGGATAGCTGGGTCCTGAAAACTCTTCAAAACGACCCTCCCAAGCTCCAAACACAGACAGCCGTGCGCGAACCCGGGTCCCAGAACAGGCACGGGTCTCCCCGGTGCTTCGACGGGCGGTGCCGTGACTCTCGACTCGCCTGGGGCAGTAAGGCTGGAATGAGCACCAAGACCATATCCTCACGGCCATGTGCGATGCCAGAGTGGGAGCGTGAGCGTGTGTGAGCGTGGAGAGTAAGAGTTCACATGTTTGAGAGACTTCTTCGGACTTTTGAGGGCTCTTTTTCAGGTCAAGCATGGTCAAAGTATGGAGACTGAGTAGATCTGAATAGTGAAGATGGATGAACCACTCTCAAGTGGAAGCGGGGTCACTTCAGAACACAAGTTTTAGTTCACTTTGGAACCCAGGGTTTTAGTTCGCTTTGGAACACAAAACATGGGTCACTTTGGAACACAAAACACACAAAAACATGGAAGGGTTAGCAAAAAGCGAGATCACTTTGGAACACAACGCACCTGATTTTTTGGTTCACTTTAGAACACACACACACAGACACAGATGGGGAGGGTTTAAGGATGAAGGATGGGGTGGGGTGGGGGGGATGGGGTGGGGTGGGTTGCAGTTAGCAACCAAACAGTGCGACTCTGAACTGCTGAAAGGGTTGCCAGACTGGACAAGGTCAACATCTTCACACACACACTTAGGATAGGGTGTACTGAACTGAAAGCGGTGCCACACGCCGGCCTAGGTTACCAATTCCTAAGAGTACAGGTAAGGAAACCTGAAAAGGAAGTGGAGGTCCATCAAGTTCAGCGTGGCCATCAACTCTAAAGGAACCGTCGAACGACCGAGCGACAGAGTGACGTCGTCCGAAACCAAAGCCCTATGCGTGACTGCCGAGAGCAAACCGGTGCAAAGGTTGGATTTCTTGTTTTAGGTACAAGCAGGGCCCGGAGATTGGAGTAATTATCACAGCAGGTACAGGAAACTGGCCAAGTTTCCCTTCCCACTCTCGCCCACAGTTTCGTTGCGTGTGGTAGGACGAGAGTGCCACACGCCCCTGCTACACAAGGAAAACAACTGTGAAGCAAAAACAGTCCAAAAGGATCCCTATGATTCCAAGGGTTACACACACACGCCTCCCTGAGGGGAGGCAAGATTTTTAAGCTCCGCGCCATAGGTGGTGTGAGACTCTTTGTCCCCAAGTAGTGGAAAGGCCAGGAACCTCTAGTAGCGTCAAAGAAACACCTAACACCTAGTAGGAAGGCCAGGAGCCCCTAGTAGCATCCCAAGCTAAGGTGCCGACAAGAGGGAGGGGTAGGGAGAGACGAGAAAAAGGAGAGAAAAGAAAGGAAGGTGTTCCCAGCTACGACGCATGCGTCCAAGGACACACCGAAGGAAGAGAGGAGAAGGTTCCCAGCTATGACAAAAGCATCCAGGGACACCCAAGGAGGGAGGAAGGAGAGAGAGAAGGAAAGAAAGAAAGAGAGAGGGAGAGAAAGGGAGAGGAAAGAAAAAAGAAAAAGGCAGGTGTTCCCAGCTACGAACAAGCGTCCAGGGACACACCAAAGAAAGAGAGGGGTGATCCTGAGTGTTGCATTCAGGAAAACCCAGGAAGCAAAGAAAGAAAGGGGGAAGGGAAGGGGGAGAAAGGGGCTAAGGTCACAACAGGTTCCAATGAACCTCAAAAATACTTTGACCGCTGTGGTCACCTTGTGCCCTGCCGAAGCGGCTGGCTGCTTTGACCGCTGCGGTCACGTAAAGGCATAAGCCAGCTACTGTCCGCTGCGGACACGTACATCTCCAGGCAGGGGAGATAACGACGTACACCCGTTCAACGGGTCCACGGGAGGCACTCTGCGGGCTCATCCCGGGTTGGCACGAGGCCAAACACACTTAGGATAGGGTGTACTGAACTGAAAGCGGTGCCACACGCCGGCGTAGGTTACCAATTCCTAAGAGTACAGGTAAGGAAGCCTGAAAAGGAAGTGGAGGTCCATCAAGTTCAGCGTGGCCATCAACTCTAAAGGAACCGTCGAACGACCGAGCGACAGAGTGACGTCGTCCGAAACCAAAGCCCTATGCGTGACTGCCGAGAGCAAACCGGTGCAAAGGCTGGATTTCTTGTTTTAGGTACAAGCAGGGCCCGGAGGCTGGATTTCTTGTTTTAGGTACCGGTACACACACACACGTTTTGATGGCCTTTCAAAGCACACTTCTGCTGTACAAACTAATGAGCGGGTTGGGTGGGGGGGGTGGGGTGGGGGGGGGGGGGTGGGGGGTGGGTTGCAGTTAGCAACCAGACAGTGCAGACTAGTCGTAGCGATGGCCTCCAACCTACTAGCTCTGACACGCGTTCCGAAGCGATACCGTTCCCGCGCTCCGAAGCGAACTATTTTCTGCGTTCCGAAGCGACTTCCTCGCCCTCTCAAGTTGGGGTGGTGATTGGAGGGGGGGTGCTTCGTGTATTGCTCAGAACACATCCACTCACCTACTCCTGGACTGCTCGAATCCAGTATACGGCCAGGTCTCGGACTACGCAACAAGGAGGTGGCTTGGAGGAGGTGGGAGATGAATGGCTCTCAGGCTATATGGGACTGCAGCGAGAACAGGCTGATCCTTCATGAATCGAAGAACGTCGAAGTGTCGTGCTGCATGCATGATGTTGAAGTGCCTCTTGCTGACACCTTCGCAGTGTCACTCAACTGCTTTGCATTCTCTTGCTATCCCAAACCACTGCATGTATGGCCCATTTTACTGGCCCATTTACTTCTATGATTGGGTCAATTTGGGTCAACCATTCCAGTCCCCCCTATGACCACCACCGGTCAGCCAATCCGCCGAGCCACGTTGGCGGCCACGTCGCCGAAGCGGGAGAGCGGCGCTTGGAAAATCGCCCACGGGAAGAGGCCCTGGTAGAGGCGTGGGAGGCCTGGCCCGGAGTAAGTGCCTAGGCCCTGAGCGCTTCTGAAGGCGTTTCAACTTTCTGGGTTCTTTTTTGGCGGATGAGGATGAGGTGGGAGAGATGTATCCAGGTGCTTGGGGAGCCGTGCCTTTTGGGCGGTTTTGGGTAGCGCCAAGGTCGATAGGATTGGGTTGATTCGTATATAAATTTGATTGAGTCCTCTATTGAAAAAAACACGAGCAAGTGCGATTGTTGCGAGTGTGTGGGTTTGGAACTGTGCGCGGAAGTAACAAAATGCAGAGATGACCGACTGCCGACATGGCACATTCGGTCTGATGAAACACATTTCAACTTCAGCATACTCTTCAGCTGTTTTTATGAGGTCCGAACTGCACCTGCACCTCCGAAGTATGTGTTTGGAATCTGACCGAAAGGCCGCTTGATCGAGGGAACAAGGACGGTGTGAACACAGAGCTAAACTAAGACGCGACTTGACTTGACTTGGGAGACTTGACTTGGGAGGCTTAAATTGCTTCTCAACTTAGGAGACTTGACTTGACTTGGGAGGCTTGACTTGAACTGCTTCTCAACTTAGGGGACTTGACTTGACTTGGGAGACTTGACTTGACTTGAATTGCTTCTCAACTTAGGAGACTTGACTTGACTTGGTCAAAAGTCACGCCCACGTAGCACATCGTCTCACCCTCGTCATACGTGCGGAGCACTTCTGGATACAACCCCTCACACTGAGATCGCACGAGTGAGCTCCGTGCCTCCTTCAGCCCAAAGCTTCTTCAAGACCTCCAACAAAGTTCCGCCGAACTTGTACCTCCAGTGACATGTTCAAATCCCAACTGCAACTGCATGCTTTTGTGTGCCTGGATTTGTGACGGAGTCGATGTAATTAAATGATATTGAATGGATTCTGTTGCCCTACAAACTGGTAGCTTCACATGTGTCGGAATAAGGAACCACCAAACAGCATGCAAATCGGATGCCAAAAATCTGCCTCCAGGAAAGTTTGCCTCTACCAGAATTGGAGCATCTGCAGTTTAGGGGCTGATAATTCATCGCAGTGCGCAGCCACATGAACGCCAGCACCTGCAAGGAAGCCGATGGCCGACCAACTCGTACACTGTACATCTTCTCCAGCTCTCCAAGCAACAAAGTTGTTTTGTGTCAAACAGGCCAGTCAGGTTTGCTCACAGGATGGTGAGCTGAGAGGAACTTCCCTGCCTGCATTGTCCCAGCCACGAATCCAGCCGAACCACTGCGCCATGCTTTCTGCAGGGCCAAGATCAAGACTTGGCCTCGCCCGTGGTTGCTTGGCGTGCGATGGATTTCAATGAATAGTGCCACTTTTAATAATAAAAGGTCGGGGGATGCCACCAGCAGTGGGCGGACCCGCACAGATTCTCTAAGCTGTGTTGGATGAATTCTCCGACAGGACACTCTTGCCAACAAATGATGAGTTTCCACTAGCACTTAAAACGACGAAGTGGAACCATGTTCATTTACCGCTCCTGTTGATAGAGTGGCTCCATGCAAAAAAGCGAGTATGCTTCTCGGGCTGACTCCAGCCTTGAGGGTATTGGTTCCATTATAGTTTCGACTAAAGCATCGGATGCCTTTTAGTTGCGGTGTCGGTCGAAGCGCGGTGTCGGTCGACGCTGTTCACGAAGCCCGAAGCCCGGTGCGTGCCATGAACCGCCACGCGCGGAACGAAGCCTCCGCGACGGAGCGGACGGCCCGGAAGGCCCTCAGCCGGACCGGCCTAGACTGCTCTTCTCCGCGACAGCACTGGAGACAGTCTTCGCCCAAAGTGGTTGACCAGCCATGGCAAGAGGGAGTTCTTATGACCCACACTCTGAAAATGTCTGTGAGAGCTTCATTTCACTGTTGGGATGTGGTTAGAAAAGCTTGGAGTATGAGAAATCACGTTGCCCGTTGCCCCCCTTTTTCCAGACACCCCGAGAACGCTGGTGAACAGAACGTTATTCAAGTTGGAAGACTGCACATCAATCGGAGACTGAGACTGCTGGTCACACCTGAGAGGAGCCACCAGGCGCGTGTGGGGCGAGCCGTGCTCAACTGCATCTTCGAGTACGTGGGCTACATCTTCAAAGATTGGCAAGCAAAAGGAATCTAACATAATCTAACTAGATCTCTGTGACACACACTGGTGCGTCCACCCTAATCACACCGGAAGCTGAAGCTCACGACTCTCACCATGTTATCCGCCTCAAATGCTGTCCTGCAGCAGCCAGGGGAACCACACAACTCGGTAAACGCGTATGTCTCAGTCTCACACAAGGTCTCCAAACGCGTCGCCCAAAAACGCGCCCCAACTTGGCCCAGCATGAGGATCACACAAGGGCTCACTTTGGACAACAACTTGAAAGCTTCTGTTTGATCATGTTTGATCCCAAAAAGGGCGCCCTATAGCCTATTGGGCAGGAAGAAGGGCAACAAACCCGACAACCCTTCGATGTCCTAAGGGTCACTCATTGACACAACGACTGGGATCCGGGTCAGCCTGGTCAGTCTTGCGAGTTGAAGCCAGCGAGAACACATACCCTGCATGATCTGGATGGCTTCTCTAGAACAAATCTCTTCATGGGGAGGGAGGGACATGTTCTGTGGAGGGGGAAGATCTTCAAGCTACTTAGGGTCTGGGAAGAGAAACAAACATATAAACTATACAGTACAATTTGATGAAGAATTTGAAGTTAAAGTACAAGCGTGTGAACAAGGCATTGGCAACTGTTCAGGAAACAAATTGACCAACTTTAGAGGAGTAGTTTTCAGGGATTGACCCCAAAACTCTGCCACAAAGCAACAGCGGTGGTCGGTGGTTGTTCAATTTAGCAAAAATCATGCAAAAGAGAAGCTGGACCACAATGGATCACAGCATTTTGAAGAGAAGAGCACCCCCAAAAAAATTGGACATGCCTCACGTCAATTGTAGTGGATTGCTAGACTACTTCATCCCAGAGCTTCACCCACCACTCCGCCAAGCGGCCCACGCGTGCCCGGTGGCGCTTTTCTCCACAACTCCCCGGAGATCTCCGCCCCACGGCGATCGGGTGTGCACCCCACTGGCTCAGCTGTCGAACGGCGTCTGTCTTGCGGCTAGCCATGCGTTTTCTGAGACTTGTGGCCATAGAGAAAAGACGGAAGTACAACAACCGACATGGACAGTTCAAAGTGACCAACTCTGATTTCTGAGAACAGCACAAGCAGGACCTTTGAGCCCTGTCTTAGGTCATTTCTTCGATTGAGATGGCCTTTTAGTTGCACACCGCGAGCTCCGCCCTAGGCCCTAGCCTAGTCCCCCGAAACAAAGAAGAAAAAACAGCGCCCATCCAATGGTTTTTGCATCTTCCGAAAAGCAAACGGCTGTTGCATCTTCGGATCCATCCACCGCCGCGCCACTGGCGCGGCCCGGACAAAGGCCCGTCAGTTCAGCGTCAAAGGTCCCGATGGCGGCACCACGTCCAGCAACTGAGCGGCCGGAACTCAAGTGACTCCGAAGAAACGTCCGTCACTCGAGAGTGACGTGGAGGTGAAAACGTTCCGTGGAGCGGGGCTGGGAAACTCCGTCTTATATAGACGTGTTCCATTGTGGCCGGGTGGCTGGTAGGGTTTGCCAATGCCGTGGGCTTCCAGTGCAAACCAAGTCATCAATAATTTCAATCAATGCCATGAAGTCGTTGCAATAAGCCATACGTTTCACTAAGCCATACTAAGCCACTCTATATATCTTCCTGCTTGGTGTCTTAAACTCGCTTGAATAATATTAGTTAGTAGATGTCAGTAGGATCAATCATTTCACGTATATAAAGGTTAAACTAACAAATATCTGAAACCACCACTACTACAGGCTCAGCTTCTTAAGCATGAGACGAGTCGTCTGCGAACTGCGACGATGACCCACGGGTGAAAGAACGGCAGTCACCGCAGTCGTCTGAAATTCGAGTGGTTCCAAGAAGTCCAATCCAACAGTCTATATCCCAGACACGACCCATGGGACTGCCATGTCGGACTGCCGATCAGGCCAGGGGTGGTTGACTGGGGGTCAATGGGGCGGCAGTCCTATGGCAATCCCATGGAGCGTCTGTCTGGGACATGGTCTATTCTAGTGGTGTCATGGACCGATGTGGTGTCATACGGTCTATTCTAGTTCGCGGTTTTTTGGAGCAAAGGGCATCGCTACGTTCGGGGCTCCTGGCCTTACTACTAGGAACAAGAAGCCATTAGAAACAAGAAATTAAATCAGAATTAGGATTTATACAATTGGAATTGAGTTAGAATTATATAGAAATAGATAGAAATAGTAGCAAAGGAAGCGTACTAGGACCTTTTCGCCTTGATTGTGAGGCTCACCGCAAGCGTCCGACCTCTGCCAGGCTCACCGCAGCGTCCAAACCGGCCTCCTTCGCCAGGTCGTCCTCGACGAGCGCATTCACCACGTCCTCGACCTCGACGCAGCCACGGCGTGCGGCGTGGACGAAGGAAGTGCCCCCTCCTCGACATGATCACCCATCTCGCAGGGGGAGCTTGAAGTTCTTTTCATGAAATCATATCAAATCAAAAGGACTTCAAACCTCTGGTTCCAAGTGGTTCTATAATATGGCAACCCACGGGCTCCTGGCCCAAGCCCTGATGTTTAATCCTTGCACCAACGTTTCAGAGAAATTATAGGCGATAGCGGTGAATGGATAACGGAACACTCAATGTGGGGCTCCATACCTTGTGAGAAGGTGGGACTGGGGTGGGTTTGGAGTGTCCAAATACCTTCTGAGCAGGTCCTTGGGGCCCTAAAGTCAGCGACTTGGAGCCTCCGCGCCCACCCCCACCCGCGACCGCGAACCGAACCTCGGCGGAAACGGCTCGGGGAGCGGGCTCTGGAGGTCCCGGCGTCCAAGCTCTGGCCGAGTTCGAGGACCGGAATTGATGCACCTGCGACGTCGTCGACGTCTTCGTCGGTTCGAGGACGGCCCAATGACGTCTTGAGCCGAGTGTGTGATCGATTCGGGAGTGCAACGGTGTCTGAGCATCAACGCTGAAAAGCGGATGCTGTCTTTCTCACCCAGTGCCTGCGAACGCCCAAATAAGCAGCAAGTTGCAACACACAAATTGGTGTTGTGTCAACATGTCTCAACTGGGTTTTGCAAAGATGTACAAACTATCTATATTAGACATTATATGATTAAACTATCATAAACTGGTGAAACCAATTTGGTGGTGTCTCAACATGGCTTCCCTGAAATCCGGTCTGGCACGCTCAGACTGGCTCAGTCCGTCCTGCATCTTCAACGCCACTCCTTGGAGGTCGCTGGCTTCAACACGCGGCGGGTTCGTCGCTGAAGTCAGGGGCATCACTTCAGGTTCAAATGCTGAAGAGGGAACCTGTTTCCATTGGGCATGAACATGGTGTATCGTATCTGATTGAATTTGGAATGCGGGGGAGGTTTACTCCATATATCTTTGAGCCATGGCCGAGATCTTCCGAGTTGCCAGTGCCCGGCTACTCACAACGAAATGAAATCGCCATACAACAACTGTACCACTTACAAATGACTTACAGCATTTATACAGTATATACAGTATATATCCTAGTTGCGTGGGTCAATGCGGTTCGGTGTCGCTTGAGGCACCGACCCTTTGTTCAAGGAGAGGATCCCCACAGCCTCTGGGGCAAACGGAACACATCGGCCGGTGGATGTGATCAATGCTGCGCTGGTCCAAATGCACTGGAACCGTCCGTTGGGGTGCTTTTTTTGGGCACAGAAGAAGAGCGCCTGTCAACGTCCTGGACACACGCAAAATCCATGGATAGTTCCATGAAATCAAGAGAGGAAAACAAACACCAACCACCTTCGTGAAACAACTCCCCACGTGCATCACCTGCACACTATATCTTTTTATAGTCTGAGTCAGAGAGGAAAACCCGGTAGTAACCACTTTCCCCCAATCAAGGCGCTTCGAATCTGCACATGTTGCTCTCCAAAAATTAAGTCCATTCTAGTCCGTTTAAGGAAAACTAGTCTCTTGATGTTCTCCTGAGTTGTTGCGATACCCCCATACGGCCCATACAGTGTTCGTCTGCATCAGCGGCAATGATTGAAAATATGTGGCTTAGACCTCCAAGCTCGAACGCAGCGAACCTGAACAAGATCTGCTTGGAAAGGCCAAAGGATGACTGAGTCGGCCAGTGAGCTTGATGACTGACTCAACCACTTCTCATGGGCTCAACCTCTTCAAGAACAGCCCACGTACCCGACAGCTCGTCTGGTCCCATGTGCCCTTTCACCGCTCCCAACCAAACGAAGAGAGACAGTGGATCGGATCCCACCATCGAAGCGTATGGGTGTCCAGTGAATCCAAAGGCAAACAACGTATGCTCTGAAAATCAGATGCCAGTTTGAGAAGTCGGTCCCTGTATGTCCAGTGTGCATGACCCCAAATTGGGTCCATGATTCTGGGACCTGTTGAAAACATGCATCATTCTACCTGGACCATCCAATGGGCGTTCAATGGAGATCCCTAAATACCAATGGGCGTTTAATGGAGATCCCTAAATACTTAGGGATCTCCATTGGACACCCATTGGATGGTCCAGGTATGTCCTTGGTATTTTCTCGAACGACGTCACCCAGTGGTCACCCGCGCGAGATCGGGGGCCTGAAGTCGTGGGATGAGATCAGTCTTGCCTTCATCCCAGCACCTGAGGGATTCCGAACCAAAGTGAGGCGGATCCGCACATGGCGGATCCCGAAGCCTGTTTTCAGGAGCACCTGGGAACTCAGCCGGATGTTAATATAGCCGAGACTGCATCAATGTTAAGTAATCATATTATGTCCAGGCCGAAAGCTTT